GATCTTCAAAGGATATCATCAAGGAAGTGTAACAACACATAGGAGAAAATGTTTATAAATCACAAATCTGATAAGGGACTTACATCTACAATATATCAAAAGAATGGTTACACCTCAATAATTAAAAGATAAATAATCCAATCAAAATGTAGATTAAAAAATCTGAAAATATTTCTCGAAGGAAGCAGGGAAATGGCCAACACACACAAAAAAAGATGTTCACCATCAAGATCCATCAGGAAAATATAAATCAAAACTGCAACTGCAATAAGGCAGCACTTTACACTGACTGGTATGGCCATAAGAAAAATAGAAAGACTGTCAAAAAGACAAGTGTTGGCAAGAATGTAGAGTAAGTGGAAGCCTCCTGTGCTGCTGCTACAGCTGCCTTGGCAAACATTCTGGCAGTTCCTCAGTTAAATATGAGTTCACATCTCCAATCTGGCAGTCCCACTCCTAATACAGACTAACAAGAAAACATGTATCCCAAAACCTTGTATACAGAAGTTCACAGAAGCAGAATTTAAGATAGCCCAAAGGGGAAACAAACCTAAAATGTCCATTTTTGTGGAAAAATAAATTGTATTATGATATATCCACACAATGGAATACAACCAGGAAGTAAAAGGAATAAAATATTGATACCTGCTGCAATATAGATGAAGTTGAAAACATGGAGCTAATCACAAAGGATGACATATTATGTGAATCTACTTAGATGACATACACAGAATCAGTAAATCTAGAAAGACAGAAATTAGAACCGAGGCTGCCTAGGGCTGGGAAACTAGGGTAAAATACAGAGTGCCTGCTAGTGAGTTTTATTTGGGGGAAATTAAAAAGTTTTAAATAGATAACGGTGATGTTGCACAGCTCTTTAATTCTACTAAAAACCACTATTGTATCATGGTCCTGGTTAATAATGTATGGCATGCAATTTATATCTCAGTAAATCTGTTACTTAAAAATTAAATTAATATGTATAAAAAATAAACATATATATATGTATATATGAATTGAAATTTTAAAATTAATTTTCATAGTGAAAAAATGAAAAGCAGTAAGATTAGCAAACCGAATACACATGCAGTCAATATCTTGCAAGGTAATAAAACTGTAACATTTGAAGTTTTATTTTTCTTTCTTTTTTTCCCCTGGAGTCACATTTTACTATCAAGAAAGTAATTTTCAAAGTTTTGAAGGATTATTAATTCTCCATAATTAACCCGTTATTTTAAGTTTTATTTTTCCTACTAGAGAAAAATCATCACAACTATCAGGTTTCCGTATGTTAAATTCTAAGATGATAGAATTGTACAATATAGAAAATAGTAATGATAAGGTCATAACAAGCCAATGCTCACATTACAGTGAAGGTCACGTAGGCTTCTTTTGTCTTATTCCCATGGCTTAATTTTTCTTAGAAACTTTTCCCACAAGGATACCACAGTAATTTTTCATCTCAGTTTAGTTAAGTAGAAAATGACAAGGGCAATATTTCCTATGAGCCAAACACCTGGAAATAGGATAATCTAAAAGCGAGGGCATTTTGGAATTAAAGCTACAAGAAATCATGAAACAAAGAAAAATTTGATCAAGCTACTCTTAAAAGATACTAGGATTTTAAGTACATGCAACTGGTAACCATAGCAACTAATAAATGGTGAAACAGTAATTTACTATATTTGCCATTAAAAGAAGAAATAATACTTGCAAGAAGGAAGCAAAGATGCTATTGAAAGTTGCACAAACTTTGTAATTCCAGTAATGGAAGTAGTTATGGACTGAATTCTGCCTATCAAAAATCCCTGCTCTATACTGTGACTATTTGAAGATGTGCCTGTAGGGAGGTAATACAGGTTAAGGGAAGTCTTAAGGGTGGGGCCCTAGTGCATGTAAATCTTCTTGGTGTCCTTACAAGAAAAGAGACATCAGAAATCTCTCTTCAAGAATACAGGATAATCTAAAAAGAACAAATTTTTAAAAATTAAAAATATAAAAATTATTTCCTAAAAAAAGGACACCGGAAGAAGGCCAGGTGAGGACACAGTGAGAAAGGGGTCATCTACTGGTTGCCACATGCCAACATTGACAGCACCTTTATCTTGGACTTTCAGCCTCGGGAACTGGGAGGGAATCAATTTCTGTTGTTTAAGCCACACAATCTGTAGTATTTTGTTGTAGCAGCCCTAGCAGATGAATGCAGAAGAAAATGTTCAATGAAGCAGACCAACACAGCCAAATGACAAACTTTGAATCAGTCAGCCTCATCACAGCTAAGTTGCACAGATCAGGAGAGAAAACTCAGCAGAACAATGAAAACAGACCAAGATAACCCAATGTGAGAATCATCAGCCTGCCAGAGGCAAAGTCTGCAAAAAGAGAAGAGACTCTTCTCAGGAAAGGGATTAAGACCCCCTCCCTCCCTGAATAGAAGTCTATTCTAATGCAGCCATCCAACAGGAATGTGAAAACCCACTCACAACAACTATCACTGAAATGTCCCCAAGTAGCTACAAGAACAGAAAGACTCATCTCTTAAAGGAAAGGAGGTTATAAAGGTTATAGTGACTATAATATTTAATCACTTTCTATTGACTGATTTTCCTGAACATCATCACAAGGACGGATGGATTCATAGATAGTTCTGGCTGAAATGTGAGTCAGGCAACTCTGAAAATGAACACGTGCCTTGGAAGTGAAAAAAAAATCCTAATTTGTCCTTCCTTCCTTCCTTTTCTTTTCGGTCATCAACCAAAAGAAAAATATAACTTAACTCTCTGGGTGGCTGAGAAGGTACAGTAGGAGGGCAGTGAATCTGAGATCAAGTCAACATGCACTGATACCAAGAACTTGGGACTACTTTACTGATGGTGCAAGATATGAAAGAAATAATTGGTTGGTGAGTTGATAGCAGCATGTTCTTGCCCCTCTCCTTCTGCCTCTTTTGGTTTTTAGATACTGGGATCATCTAACCAAAAAGAACAAATGCTCAAGTTCAGCAGACAGGAATGTTTGGAAGGAAACCATTCCGAAGCTAAAGGAAGAAGCTAAAGGAAATGGGGCCACTGTGCGAGAACAGGATTTGGCAACATTCATTTTTTTTTTTTTAAATTAAATGTGATGTATACACACGCACACACACACACACTCAAATATAATTAGCCTTTTTTTAAAAAAATATTTATTTATTTTTTAGTTATTGGCGGACACAACATCTTTGTTTGTATGTGGTGCTGGAGGATCGAACCCGGGCCGCATGCATGCCAGGCGAGCGCGCTACCGCTTGAGCCACATCCCCAGCCCGCAACATTCATTTTTATCTTAAAGGCAGAAAGTAACTATTTAAGGAGCTATAGAACTGAAGTAATTTATCAATGAATTGACTCAGTGAAAAATATAGGGACAAGGGGCCCTAGAGATTCTGAAAGCCAGTAAAGAAATCTTAAAAAAAAAAAAAAAAAAAAAAGTAGATTGCAACATTAACAAAAAGCTGAATTGGAGATGTCAAATGTAGAGAAGATTTCAACATTTTGAAAAACCTAAGACACTAACAAAAATTTATAAATTTTTTAGACTGCCTAAGAGGCAAGCCAATACTAGAGTATATTAAATGATGTCTGGATGCCTACTCAAGATTTAATTAATACAAATATATGCTGAAATAATGAGAACAATTATGATATAATATTTATTACAAAAATATGTTAATCAAATCAGCAGATTTCCTTTTTGAATGGAAAACAGAGTCTAAATGAAGGGAAGAGAAGCTGGGGGTGTAGCTACCCTGGAGTGCTGTCTAGCATGCACGAAGCCCTAGGTAACATCCTTAGCAAAAAAAGTGAAAATTAAACTAAAATATAAATAAATAATTTAGGTACGGTGGTGCACACCTATAATCCCAGCTACTCAGAAGGCTGGGGAACCTCAAGTTCAAGGCCAGCCTGGACAATGTAGTGAGTCTCTGTCTCAAAAGAAAAAATGAAAAAGGGCTGGGATTGTAGCTCAGTGGTAAATGCCCCAGAGTTCAATCCCTAGGAACACAAAATAAATAAACAAACAAACAAACATATAAATAGATAAATATAAAAAAGAAAAAAATATTAAAAACCATAAAGAAAACATGCAAGGCATACAAAGCCATAGAAATTTATCAATTAAAATATATAAGGTAAATAAATAATATAAAGGAGAGATTGCTGACTGGCAAGAAAAGACAAAAATCTATTGTAAGCCAAAATATAAATGGATTTTAGATCAAGGCTTAATTTGAGATTTTTTACGTCTTGGAAACATAAGAAATGCGGGCTACTATCATAAAATAGTATTAGATAATAAAGGCATATACAGAGATGAACATTTAAGAACAGTGCATCTTAATGTTTAAAACATTATGGCAACAATATATTCTGAAGAAGAGTAATTAAAATAGTTAAATTATATCCAAAAGCCTCAGTAGTATATCAAAGCAGATGAATAGATGAGGAATTAAAATACCTTCTCAATGAAGCAGAAACACTGATCACTTCTTGACTATCTCTAGAACTTTTAAGGACAAATGATAAAATATAACTAAATCTATATCTTAGCAAAAACTGGTGTTCATTTCTGTTTGTCACTTAAGACCTCCAGTCCAATTTTAGTCTTACCAAAGGTTATAGTGTCCAAAAACCTCTGTGCACCTCTCTGTGGTTTGTTCTGTAACATTTGTCAAATGAGCCACTTGATAGATATGTATTATCGATAATATTGTCCAGGAAAATATTTGTTGAATAAACAAATATATACCAAAGTGAACAACATCTATAACAAAATAATAAACCAAAACAGCCACATTTATTGAAAAGAATTCCAAATGTATGAATAGTAATTTCCTTTCTATCCACAGGCTGGATAGAAAATCTTTTCTTTCATTACATGCAAAGCCCAACTATAATTTGAAACTATTTAAAGCTACCCAATACATACCAAGTAAAGTTAAAAAAATTATTTTTACTAACCTTGTAAGAAAATAAGGCGAAAATGAAGCTGGATTATCCTGCTCCGAAAAGAGGGGCATGGATCCTCCCATTATCCACAGACGGAAGTACAAAATGACAATCACCTTAAGAGAACAAGAAGATTTGGTAAGAGAGCCACCAATAATCTCCCTCTTTGTATGTGTGTTCTGTCCTTCCTGTCAAGATATGAAGTCAGCCACCCCTTTCCTTAAATCTGGCTTGGTTTCATGACTTGTACTTGTCAACAAAATGCGGTAGAAGACACACTGTGTCCTTTCTAGGTCTAACCTTCCCTGGAGAGGTCTTGCAACTTGGGTTGGATCTTTCAGAACCCAGCTGCCAAGTTGTGATGAAATTCTAACTATCTTTCTAGGCAAGGCTTCAGAAGATGAGATATTATGGAGAGAAGCGATTTGGAAGAGGATGGAGATGACCTAGCCCTTATGATAGCTGAATCAACTTGCCTTAGAACCCAACCAAAAATTATGATGATCAGAAGAATCATCCACCTAAATGCTGCCCAAACTAAAGAATTTCAGGCAGATAATTATGGTTGTGGTATTTAAGCCACTCAATTTTTTTAAAAATATATTTTTAGTTGTTGATGGACCTTTATTTTTTATTTATATGTGGTGCTGAGAATGGAGCCCAGTGCCTAGCATATGCCAGGCAGCACTCTATCACTGAGCCATAACCCCAGCCACTCAATTTTTAGGCCATTTGTTATGCAACAATAGATAACTGATAGAGCCAGGTTTCTGACACCATCTCTAGAGACCAATCAACATTAGCACCTTGAAAGGGACTTGTAAAACACTGTGTGTTTCACATATACCTAAAATAGAACATACACCTTCCAATGCTCTGCAATGTTTAAGGCATGTAAACTGATACCAAGATGGTATGGCTGGGATCTACTACTGATTCTATTAAATAATCTGGATTGTGTCTCTGGCCTGAATTAAAATGAAAACATTCTTGATTACATATATACTTACATAACTTATGACCAAAACAGCCCTTTTTAAAAATGGTCTCATGGTAAGCAGGAAATTTCTATTGCTGCTTGTTGTCAGATACCTGAAACAGGAAAGAAAATAAATCTTAAGTAAGTGTAAGAGTCTCCTGCACCATATTCCCTTTTCAATGAATATGCTGTAGCTCTGAGAAAGGCTGTGAAGGCCCCAAGCTGAGAGTGGCCTGTGAGCCAGCACACTTGGGTTCCAATTGCACACCTTTGCTGCTTTCAACCCAGGAGACTGGGAAAGTTTCTTCCCTTTCCTGCACAGTGCTTCTTCTCACTTAGGAGGATGATAATACCTGCCTCACAGGAAAGTCGTCAATGAGACAATATGGAAGGGAACCAAGCATTGTAATTACTAATACTACTATCCCATCTAACCTCAAAGAATCCAGTCATTCTGACAACTATGTGCTTACACAGTCAAGGGATGATTTTTAAACAAGAGTTCATTTACCTACTTAGTGCAATATCTTTAGCCCACAAAATATCTCACCAATGTCTTACCCCTAAAGATAGTGCTAAGGTTACATGAAGTCAAGAAGTTTTTGTAAGGTTTCAAAGTTAGTGAGCATCAGTGGTGGGATCAGAGTCACCCATATATGAAGAACAATTTTCTCACCATCTTATGGTCCTTGGAAGTAAACAAGTTTACAAGCATGTCAACTTCTGAAGGGGCAGGAACTTGTGTAGACCCTGCATCTGCCACAGCCCATTGAATCTTACAAAGTGGGAGCTGTGGGCATGTACGTGCAAGATATGTGATCAGACAGCTTTAATAAAGACAATGAAAGGGAAACAAGAAGAGGTATCAAAAGCCCCAGCTGAAAACACACAGCAAGTCTTGTCCACCCACAAGCAAATTTCTACTTATTAAAGCACAGAGTGGAAAAAAGAAGTTGAGTCAAATCACATAATCCAAACACCGAACCACTGGGGAAACCACTAGAAAGAGAACTGAGGTCCAGGGTTCTATTCCTTTTTTTTCCATCCAATTTGATGCATGATTTGGAACAAATCTACAGAAGTTTTATTTTCTTCCTTTATCAATGAAAATGGGGGCAAATGGTTTCAGGGTCTGTTTCAGGTCAAAAAGATTGTGCTCATTGCATGTTCTCACCAAATGATGATATTATAAATGAATGGAGACAAACAGATACCTGCCAAATTTCAAGAAAAGGGAATGTCAAAGGATCAGAAGGAAATCGAGAATTAGTTGATCTCCACTTTCAGTACATGCAGTTGCATATAAAAATAGTTTAGTATAGATTATTGGTATCATCAAATTATGCATCTTAAACTGATTTTTTCAAATAAAAACAAAGACCAAGATTGAATCAAAGTAATTCTCTAATATGCTTCTACACATGCCACATTTTCTGATTACTAATAACCACTTCCCCAATTGATTATGTGMAAATATTCAGATCCAAAATGTGACTGCTTCCTAAGTTCATTCTCCATAGTCACTCAGTCCTCAATGCCTACTGAAGATCTTAGCAGATATCAGAACAACTGCCACCCTAAATCATCCACCCATAATCCTGTCAGCTCAATCAATGAATGCTTGGGGAAAATTATTTTTTTCTTTTGTGATATTGAGGACTGCATCCAGGGGCACCTTACCACTGAGCTACCCTTCTAGCTCTTTTTTATTTTCTGTGGTGAGACAGGGTCTCACTAAATTGCCCAGGATGGCCTTGAACTCCACAGTAGCTGGGATTACAGGTGTGTGCCACTGGGTCTGCCTAGATAAATTAATATATATTATTATAAGTTGCTCTTCTTTATTAACAATAATTATCATGCCAATAAATATTCCATACATAGGACAAAAAATTCTTTGTTTGATCACACTTTATTCAGGCTCCTGAACCTTCTTCTAAGACCATCTGTACATTGTCTTATAAAATCTCATTTCAACAAGAACCCTGCTAAATCACTTTAGCAAACCAAACGAAAACAAATAAACTAAAAACAATCATCCACCTTGGTATCTGACTACTCTAGATGTCTGATCATATCTTTCACTCTCCACCATCCCCAGGGGTGATGTCTGATCACCCTTGTCTTTACAAGAATCCTATTAGGTCAGATTAGCCAGAATCCCTCCTTACACATGATAAGGGAATTTCTTTTAGTAATCTGTCATCCACTGACCTCTCCATCCTGCTCCTTGGCTATAAATTTCCACTTGTCTATGCTATATATCAGGGTTCAGCCCCAACTCTCTTTGTAGCAAAATTCTACAACAGTGACTCCTGTATCTATTGCTACAGACAATTAAGTCTTTATAAACATGTTTTAACAAGTGTGGTTTAAATGTGTTTTTCACACCATAGCAAGATGATCAAAGATCAATAAATGCTTAGTGAAATGAACAGTTTAAAAATCTTTATCTTGCCTCCTCTCAAACTCTTTTCCTGTTCCATGTTATCCCTACCCTTCAGTACTAGACTGGGGTACAAAATTATACCAATAAATAATAAATAGCTATATATGGAACATGAATCATAACTAATTAATTTCCCTTTGCTCTTTCAGGATAATGAAGGATATTGATAAAGACTCACATACTCTGAAAAGAATTTGAACTCGGAGCTTTTAGAACAGAAATTTTTAAATATTGCTTCCCTTTGAAACACAAAAGATTTCTCAATGGAACAAAATATAAAAGAGACACAGCTCACATTAGAAAAGACTACAAGTTTAGCAAAAACAACAGAAGAAAGTTAAGTGTCTCTGGGTTCCCTCTTTAACACACTCTCTTGAACCCAGAAGGGCCTTCTCTAAATCTTAATAAGCAAAGGCATTCTACAGAGGAGCCACCAACCTTTGATGTCCCCTTTGATATGCAAATGAAGATTCTGAAGGAAAAGGAGCTACTATCCTAAGAGGAAATGCATTTCTTAATTCTGTCTACTCAGAAGACCCAATTGACCTTCCATACCCCACTCTGTAGTTCTGGTAAACTGTTCTTAGAGAAATTTTAAACTCTTAAATCATCATGGTATTTACAAAGAAACACATACTTAGATGATCATTCATAAAATATGGAAATCAAGCCTGGGAAGGCACAGGGAATGTGTTTTCAGTTCTCTTAACCATTCTGAAAACTGAAGCTACTATTGGAAGGGAACAGAACAGTGTGGGAGTGCTCTAGGAGAGGGAAAAAGATGGAGCTGAGAAAATGTTAACTGAATTGGAAAAGGTCATGGCCCTTCACTGTCAAAGGTCAACTAGATCAAGCCTCATTAGCTGAGCCAGAGGATCCAATTATAGGCCCTCTACAATTAATTTAGTCAATGATCCTGATTTTAATTCTTTCTATAAGTAATAGCAAAAATTCAGTTTTGGTAATATCAGCCTTGTCTCTCATTAATAGTTCCAAAGAGGTTTCAATTCATTAGTAATAGGGAATACTTAATACATTTCATATGTGCCAGTAATTTGCCCTTGTTATTTCATATTACCTCTGTGAGTGCACACTTGTCCCCATCTTAAGAATAAACCTGCTACTTACTCAGGATCTCATAGCCAGCAAGAGGCAGTGGTGAGACCCAAACCTAGATCCAAAACCAAAGCATTCACTACTCTATCTTACTAGAATCCTAGGCCACAGACCTGACTCTGGGGAGCCAACAAATCAGATCTGGTCATTTATCCCAAAAACCAAATGGAAAAAATGGTGAAAAGCAGAAAAGGAACTTTAACCAATGTAGCCATATTGGGAAGACAAAAGGGAACAGTGTGTGTCCAGCCCTATCTTTCAGGGGCTGGAAATGACTTTGAAGCTTTATAGAAAGAGGATTGAGGGCAAGGTTGGAGCACTGCAGAGTTAGAGGCATTGTGCAGTTGCCAAAGCAGGTAGGTGATAAGAAAGTGATAAGAAAGTTTTTGTGGCCTGGGTGGTAGTTTGGACTCATCWAAAAACATTTGTTCATTAGACCTGGGTATTTCTGGAATCCACGGTGATTCGGAGCAAAGGAGACAGATGCAAAATGAAGAGAGATAATACCAAATTTCTATCCTTCTTTTAGTTACCCACTGGACATTTTCAAGCCCACATGAGTGTAAGGCCTTGTTACAATAATCATATAAAAGTAAAATAGAGCTAGTCTGTACATTTTCAGCACAGATTACAAATGATCCCTGGCTTATTATAGTTCAATTTATGATAGTTCGGCTTACAATGGTGCAAAAGTAATATGCACTGAGCAGAAACCATACTTTGAATTTTGAATGTTGATCTTTCCCTGGGCTAGTACAATACATTCTCATGATGTAGGGCAGCAGCCACCCACCACAGTTCTCAGGAAAGCACATTATCATGAGAGGAAACAACCAGTATCTTACTATGTTGCTAAGGTATGATGTTCTGAAGGTTAGGTGCATTGAATGCGTTTTCGACTTAGTATATTTTCAATTTCCAATAGGTTTATCAGGACACAACCCCATTGTAACCTGAGGAGCATCTATAGTATTAAATGGCATCTCTGTGTAATAACAGCACAATAACTTCTGTCTTAGTGCATTTGTGAACAATACTAGAAATGGATAACTTTTAAAGAACAAGAATTTATCTTTTTACAGTTCTGAAGATGAGGAGTCCAAGATCAAGGCACTGACCTTTGCTCTCTAGTAAGGACTTCTTATGTATTCTCACGTGGCAGGAGAGTAAAAGAGCAAGAGAGGCAAACTTTGAAGCTCTTTTATCGTTGTTATTGCTGAGGTACTAGAGATTGAACCAGGACCACTCTACATCCCAAGCCCTTCTTATTTTTTATTATGGGATAAAGTTTTGCTAAGTTGCCCAGGCTGGCCTCAAACTTGCAATCCACCTGCCTCAGCCTCCTGAGTATAAAGAGAAATGGAGAGTGGATAGATAAGAATGCCCCAAGTGACAATGAAGCTGACAGCTGGAAAGATGACAAGTGCATCAGGTGAGGAAAGCAGAAATACGATGCACATACAAGGGCCAAGGATTGAGAAAGGGCAAGCTAAGATGGCAAAAGAGCAAGAATAACGTCATGGCTGGGGGATCTAATGTCAGCAGAGA